CTGGAGTGAATACAGTGAGAGGGGAATACATGGAGTGAATGCAGTGAGAGGGGAATACCTGGAGTGAATACAGTGAGAGAGGAATACCTAGAGTGAATACAGTGCGAGAGGAATACCTAGAGTGAATACAGTGAGAGGGGAATACCTGGAGTGAATACAGTGAGAGGGGATACGAGAGTGACTACAGTGAGAGAGGAATACCTAGAGTGAATAGAGTGAGAGAGGAATACCTAGAGTGAATACAGTGAGAGGGGAATACATGGAGTGAATACAGTGAGAAGGGAATACCTAGAGTGAATACAGTGAGAGAGGAATACCTAGAGTGAATACAGTGAGAGAGGAATACCTGGAATGAATACAGTGAGAGGGGAATACAGTGGGGGGAAACATATTGAGGGAATACAGTAGGTGGGGAATACATTGAGGAGAAACGTGGAGGGAATACAGTGTAAAGGGAATACAGTGAGAGGGGTAACATGTGGAGGGATACAGTAGGTGGGGAAACATGTTGAGGGAATACAGTTAGAGGGGAATACAGTGAGAGGGGAAACATATTGATGGAATACAGTAGGTGGGGAATACATTGAGGAGAAACGTGGAGGGAATACTTTTGAAAGGGAATACAGTGAGACGGGAAACATGTGGAGCAAATTCAGTAGGTGAAGAAACGTGGAGGGAATACAGTAGGTAGGGAATACAGTGAATACAGTAGGTGGAGAATACAGTGAGGGGAAACATGTTTAGGGAATACAGTGGAAAGGGAATATAGTGAGAGGGGAAACTTGGAGGGAATACAGTGGAAAGGGAATATACTCGAACCCCATGGTACCGGACCATTCATTGTATCGCAGCATTTGTGATTTCCGGTAGTTCGGGCGAGACACGCCTCTTAGCGGCTGTCTATTAATGCAAATCAGTAACCAGTAAGTGCTCACTTTGTAAACAATTTCAATTTCCTTGGAATGTTCCGTCTGCTGTAAGTAAGGAGTTATTAATGTGTTGATATGGCATTTTCCCAATTACACTTTCTCTATCGACCTGAACAAGATCATCTGCATATTCATGGTGACTAATAAGGTAACGGAAGTTACGTAGTCCGCACATTTTTTCCCGCTCTGTGCCCAGAAACTATTGGGAAATCATAAGGGCCATAATGCCAAACTTAGAAATACGTTCTTCACTAGTAGCCAAAAGAAAAATACTAGGCATACTGGGCATACTAGGAGTGCTTTTTATATATTTATTGTTGACTTTTAACACTTTTCCATTTTGTGACAAATTATTGTCATCCAATTTTTAAAAAACAACAATCTTAGAATAGCATTTCTGATATTTTGTTGTTGAATTTTAAAATATTTTTCTCTTACTTTTCGGTAAATATGCATTGAATACCTATTACTGATAACACATTTAGAATTTTACTTGTGCTGTCTTTGCACTTGTCTGGACAAACCACTGATGTCTGGCATTATCATACCAAGTGGTTGGTACAACGATGTCATCTTTTTGTCCAATCGGATCTCCATACACAACCCCGAGGTTGCAGGCTACAATGAGAGGGGAAACATGTGGAGGGAAAAAAAGTGGGTGGGGAAACATGTGGAGGAAATACACTGGAAAGGGAATACAGTGAGAGGGGAAACATGTGGAGGGAATACAGTGAGAGAGGAAACATGTGGAGGGAATACACTGGAAAGGGAATACAGTGAGAGGGGAAACATGTGGAGGGAATACACTGGAAAGGGAATACAGTGAGAGGGGTAACATGTGGAGGGAATACACTGAAAAGGGAATACAGTGAGAGGGGAAACATGTGGAGGAAATACACTGGAAAGGGAATACAGTGAGAGGGGAAACATGTGGAGGGAAAAAAAGTGGGTGGGGAAACGTGGAGGAAATACACTGGAAAGGGAATACAGTGAGAGGGGAAACATGTGGAGGGAATACAGTGAGAGAGGGAACATGTGGAGGGAATACACTGGAAAGGGAATACAGTGAGAGGGGAAACATGTGGAGGGAATACACTGGAAAGGGAATACAGTGAGAGGGGAAACATGTGGAGGGAATACACTGGAAAGGGAATACAGTGAGAGGAGAAACATGTGGAGGGAATACACTGGAAAGGGAATACAGTGAGAGGCGAAACATGGAGGGAATACACTCGAAAGGGAATACAGTGAGAGGGGAAACATGTGGAGGGAATACACTGGAAAGGGAATACAGTGAGAGGCGAAACATGGAGGGAATACACTGGAAAGGGAATACAGTGAGAGGGGAAACATGTGGAGGGAATACACTGGAAAGGGAATACAGTGAGAGGCGAAACATGGAGGGAATACACTGGAAAGGGAATACAGTGAGAGGGGAAACATGTGGAGGGAATACACTGGAAAGGGAATACAGTGAGAGGCGAAACATGGAGGGAATACACTGGAAAGGGAATACAGTGAGAGGGGAAACATGTGGAGGGAATACACTGGAAAGGGAATACAGTGAGAGGGGAAACGTGGAGGGAATACACTCGAAAGGGAATACAGTGCGAGGGGAAACATGTGGAGGAAAATCACTGGAAAGGGAATACAGTGAGAGAGGAAACATGTGGAGGGAATGCTCTGGAAAGGGAATACAGTGAGAGAGGAAACATGTGGAGGAAATACACTGGAAAGGGAATACAGTGAGAGGGGAAACGTGGAGGGAATACACTTGAAAGGGAATACAGTGAGAGGGGAAACATGTGGAGGGAATGCACTGGAAAGGGAATACAGTGAGAGAGGAAACATGTGGAGGGAATACACTGGAAAGGGAATACAGTGAGAGGGGAAACGTGGAGGGAATACACTCGAAAGGGAATACAGTGAGAGGGGAAACATGTGGAGGGAATGCACTGCAAAGGGAATACAGTGAGAGGGGAAACGTGGAGGGAATACACTGGAAAGGGAATACAGTGAGAGGGGAAACGTGGAGGGAATACACTTGAAAGGGAATACAGTGAGAGGGGAAACATGTGGAGGGAATGCACTGGAAAGGGAATACAGTGAGAGGGGAAACATGTGGAGGGAATACACTGGAAAGGGAATACAGTGAGAGGGGAAACATGTGGAGGGAATACACTGGAAAGGGAATACAGTGAGAGGAGAAACATGTGGAGGGAATACACTGGAAAGGGAATACAGTGAGAGGCGAAACATGGAGGGAATACACTCGAAAGGGAATACAGTGAGAGGGGAAACATGTGGAGGAAATACACTGGAAAGGGAATACAGTGAGAGGGGAAACGTGGAGGGAATACACTGGAAAGGGAATACAGTGAGAGGCGAAACATGGAGGGAATACACTCGAAAGGGAATACAGTGAGAGGGGAAACATGTGGAGGGAATACACTCGAAAGGGAATACAGTGAGAGGCGAAACATGGAGGGAATACACTGGAAAGGGAATACAGTGAGAGGGGAAACATGTGGAGGGAATACACTGGAAAGGGAATACAGTGAGAGGCGAAACATGGAGGGAATACACTCGAAAGGGAATACAGTGAGAGGGGAAACATGTGGAGGGAATACACTGGAAAGGGAATACAGTGAGAGGGGAAACATGGAGGGAATACACTCGAAAGGGAATACAGTGAGAGGGGAAACATGTGGAGGAAATACACTGGAAAGGGAATACAGTGAGAGGGGAAACGTGGAGGGAATACACTCGAAAGGGAATACAGTGCGAGGGGAAACATGTGGAGGAAAATCACTGGAAAGGGAATACAGTGAGAGAGGAAACATGTGGAGGGAATGCACTGGAAAGGGAATACAGTGAGAGAGGAAACATGTGGAGGAAATACACTGGAAAGGGAATACAGTGAGAGGGGAAACATGTGGAGGGAATGCACTGGAAAGGGAATACAGTGAGAGGGGAAACATGTGGAGGAAATACACTGGAAAGGGAATACAGTGAGAGGGGAAACGTGGAGGGAATACACTCGAAAGGGAATACAGTGAGAGGGGAAACATGTGGAGGGAATGCACTGCAAAGGGAATACAGTGAGAGGGGAAACGTGGAGGGAATACACTGGAAAGGGAATACAGTGAGAGGGGAAACATGTGGAGGGAATACAGTGAGAGGGGAAACGTGGAGGGAATACACTGGAAAGGGAATACAGTGAGAGGGGAAACATGTGGAGGAAATACACTGGAAAGGGAATACAGTGAGAGGGGAAACGTGGAGGGAATACACTGGAAAGGGAATACAGTGAGAGGGGAAACATGTGGAGGGATTACACTGGAAAGGGAATACAGTGAGAGGGGAAACGTGGAGGGAATACAGTGAGAGGGGAAACATGTGGAGGGAATACAGTGAGAGGGGAAACATGTGGAGGGAATACACTGGAAAGGGAATACAGTGAGAGAGGAAACATGTGGAGGAAATACACTGGAAAGGGAATACAGTGAGAGGGGAAACGTGGAGGGAATACACTGCAAAGGGAATACAGTGAGAGGGGAAACATGTGGAGGAAATACACTGGAAAGGGAATACAGTGAGAGGGGAAACATGTGGAGGGAATACAGTGAGAGGGGAAACGTGGAGGGAATACACTGGAAAGGGAATACAGTGAGAGGGGAAACATGTAGAGGGAATGCACTGGAAAGGGAATACAGTGAGAGGGGAAACATGTAGAGGGAATGCACTGGAAAGGGAATACAGTGAGAGGGGAAACATGTGGAGGGAATACACTGGAAAGGGAATACAGTGAGAGGGGAAACATGTGGAGGGAATACAGTAGTTGGGGTAACACATGTAGGGAATATGATGGCTTGTGGTGGGGGGGGGAGCACATGGAGGGAATACAGTGGTGGGGGGTGGGGTGGGGGCCACATGGAGGGAGGGACACCTTGGAAATAAATTCACATGGGAAGGACACATCTTGGAAGGGGACACAACAGATGGCGATTCATCTCAATTCTTTCTCCTAACATGTACAAGGATTGAGTCTTTTTGTTTACTTCATTTCAGCTACAGTGTGTGTTGTCACTCAGACTTTGTGCAGGGTCTCACCTGGTTTGGCAGTGACTGTCTGTACACCTGTGGCTGGGACTCCCAAGTCGTCAAACACGACATTAATTCCAAGAGCGACAGGACCAAGGCTGTTGTGATGGAAGTGAATGGAGTGATCCCGGAGAAGGGACAGTTCATTGAGGATCAGCAGAGCTAGCCACACTATATGAGCAGCAGCATGAAGAGGAGTAGCATTACAAGTGGGGTCATCTCAGGCAGCACTGCTCACTGTGTAGACGGTCTCCTGTGTTAAGCCCACACCAGCCTCTGGGACAGTCTCCTGTGTTACAGCTCATACCACTCACTGGGACAGTCTCCTGTGTTACAGCTCATACCACTCACTGGGACAGTCTCCTGTGATTTCAATAGCAACGGTCACATAATATGACTTTCCATCATCATTGCTGTATACTTCCCACCTGGTTGTAGGCCTGCTGCAGGCAGTCTGTGAAGGTGGAGTGTCTGTGGGAGTATGTGTAGACACAAGCCTGCCTGTGTGAGTGTTTGTAAAGTATGTGCAAGAGCTGTGAGTGACAGAGCCAGGACAGTGTGTCTTGTAGGTTTCTGTAAGATACTGTATCAAAATATTCTCTTGTACTGTTCGGTAATGGAATGAGTGAAGCTTGTTTGTGGAAATTTGCCCTACTTCCCTTTTAATCACAATCCTGAAAGCTGTTGGTGTCATTGTCATGTTTGATATTGTATTCCACCTCCCCTATTGCAGACCATCATTCCCTTTTCTCCCTGTGGGTGGTTCACAGATGCTTCATATGAACAGCTATACATTTCCACCTTGGGTATACCACCATGACATCTCTCAGCAGATACAGTATCAACTCCCCATCTTGATACAACTCAAGCCCTCTCTGCCTCTTTATTGTCAGTTAGAAAGCTATTTGTTGCCATCAGATTATGCATTTGAAATCAGTACATATCAAAATATTAAATACCTCTTCAGTGGAGACTCTTTCTGGCATTGGTTGTATGTTGTGTCATGTTGGGCAAGTTCACAAAGGATCTGTGATGATTGATATTAAAGTGCTATGTCTGTATAATCTGACATGTGTCAGCCTGTTATCTAGTAAGACGACATTCACCATGGTGCACCTTGAGTTTTGTATGGACATAATATACAAATAAACTGTGACTGATGTCTGTGTTTGGTTGAGTGTATTGGGACACTTGTTGCTGCCCAGTCAGTCCCAGGTTAAGAGAATGCATTGGAGTGCACACGCCTTATTTAGCAGCCTAGTAAAACAGAAGGTATGCCAACATTATTCACATTGGAGGATATCCTTCGAATGGTGTCACTTCTTTCCAGCAAAAGCATGTTGAGTGTATGTTTCACTGTCAAGCAAGGGAACATGATTCTGGGTTTTGTTGTTGTTCAAACCCATTTACTTGTTGCCATCTTCTCTATTAGCTCCCCTGATTTGAGGTGATTTGAGTTAATGATGTTCATGTCCATCCATCTGTTTGTAATCTATCGAGCTGAAACTTTGTTTGAATGATCCCAGCTGTAATGACTCGTAAAAACGGCTCAGAATTTTTATCCGATTAGATAAAACAGCAACATGGCTGGCACAGTGGCTTGTTATCCCCCTGGCATATAATGCGGGGGGATATAGCGATCAGCCAGTCTGTCTGTCCGTCCGTCTGTCCATCTGTCCGTCCGTAATCATTTCCCTTTCCGGGGCAGAATTCCAAAACCATTCAGTGTATTTGATCGAAACTTGGCAAATCTATCAGGCACATACTGAAGTGGTGCCTTTTGATATTTTGGGATTTTTCTCATTTTTATTTTTTAAAATTTTTATGGAATGAAGTTGAACATAGACTCAATTGGGGATGGGGTTCATTTCCGGGGCAGAATTCGAAAACCATTCAGTGTATTTGAACAAAACTTGGCAAAGCTATCAGGCGCATACTGAAGAAGTGCCTTTTGATATTTTGGGATTTTTCTAATTTTTTATTTTTTAAATTTTTATGGAATGTAGTTGGACATAGACTCAATTGGGGATGGGGTTTGTTTCCGGGGCAGATTTCGAAAACCATTCAGTGTATTTGATCAAAACTTGGCAAAGCTATCCGGCACATACCGAAGTGGTGCCTTTTGATATTTTCTTTTTTTACGAATCTTTACTTTTTACAATTTTTATGGAAAGAAGTTGGACCTAGACTCCATTGGGGAAGGGGTTCGTTTCCGGGCCAGAATTCGAAAACCATTCAGTGGGTAAACAATGTATGCTTCTTAAAAAACATTCAACTGTTGACTCATTACATACAGAATTGCACATTTACTAGTGGTTACTTTACAGACAGCTGCTGGGGGGGGGGATATGTCATCTTTCCGATGACTCTTGTTTTAAATGCATAAATGGAAAGACTTAACCCTAACAATTCTTGAACTGACTCCCAACAAATGAATTCCTTATCACACTTCTAAATTTCAATGCAGTAAATCATGATCCTATACTGTAGACCGATTCTGTGGTCTAGTGGTTGAGCGGCTGCCTGGAGAGCGGAAAGTCATGGGTTGAATCCACGACCACGGCATATCAAAAGACGTTAAAAGATAGTTCTCGGCATTTAGGGGTTAAAGCAAGGACCGGTCGTCTCGGAGTCAGTAATCTGAGTGAGGTATTTATGTTAAACTGCGGAATGGTATCTCAGTGGGCTCTCAGTATAAAATCTGCATTAGTCCGGACTAGTAGAAGTAGACACACGCATACGTGTCCCTATTTTAGTGCAATAATGTTGGACGCAAGGTTAAACACTATTTCACAACCTCGCCTTCAAAAAATGATACGTAAAATCATAAATATCTCGCTGTGTAGTCAATAATGAATAGGTCATTTCTGCATTGATTGCGATTGATTTGTGTGAAAAGAATGAGGTACTACAGAAATTTGGTGAAAGATGGAAAAATAGAAAACAAACAAAACGTGAGAGCCTGACGCCGAAACACACCAACATGTTATGCAACATCACTTGTTAGGCTATCAAAACATTGCGTTTTCATTTGCATACGAGCACAATCTACCGCTTCCGTGGTCTTGGGGTAGAGCGGAAGGTCTGGGGTTTGATCCCCGGCCGCGTCATACCAAAACACGTTAAAATATGGTACTTGTTGGTGTTACCCTGTCTGGCGCTCGGCATTAAGTGGCTGAAACAAGGACTGGTCGGTTTGAAGTCAGTATACTGTGTCTGAGTGGGGTATTCATGTTAAACGGCGGCATGGTATCTCAGTGAGCTAGCACTTTAAATCAGCATCAGTCTGGACTAGTACAAGCAGCCACACGCGCGTGCATGCACGTCGCTATATAAGTGCAATAATCTTGGACGCGACGTTAAACCCAATTTCACCCCACCTCACCTTACCATCACAATCTTACAGCAAGTAAACAGCGAAAAGATGTCACGACTGCAAAACAGGAGAATCATTTTCAGCTGTAGATAGGTTTTTTTCATGTTGCACAAAGCACCATTACAAGACTCGGAGACCGTTATCAGACACATACGGTCGACCCCGCATCACTACTTGAGAACAGGACAGATTCATACTGTTAGGTCACTAACACTAACCAGTACGAGATGTCATTTTGACGGAGTCATCAATGGTGTAACGGTCACAGAGTATGGCCAACACTGTGATGGAGACAAGTTCATGGTAAATAAATGGTTTATTGACACATTGCGTTTTATGCTTTGACATGTGGATGGTAGACGTGTTTACAGGTGTCGTGGGGAACGTTATACTGGAAAATGCATACAGGAAGTGGACAGATTTTGTGGTGGTAGTGTGATGACGTGGGCACAGGAAGAACAGACTTGGTGCAAGTTCTTGGAAATTTAATGGCACAACGTTACACGGATGATTCTTCGGCCACACTTACTTCCCATTATGCAACAAGCGAGTGTCATTTTCCACCAAGACAACGCCCGGCCTCACACGGCAAGCCTTTTTCAGGAATCACAACATCCAGGTCCTGCATGGCCCTCCACGTCTCCAGATTTAAACCCAATCAAACATTTATGAGATGCACCGGAGCAACAACTGCGAGCACGTCAGCAACAACCACAGAACCTCCGATAGTTGGCACAAGCACTGCAGTGGCCATACAAGATATTGAGAACAGATGACCTTCACCTTTCTAATCTACTGTTCCATTGTGTGCCATATGGAACCTCGGACAATGACAATGATGTGTACAATGACAATAATCTGTTGATTATTTATATGACAATTTTTTTTTAATCTAAAATCACTTTTGCACTTTTTCATATATTTTTTGCAGGGTGTATTTTTAAGAGTGATGAAATCTCTTCAATGCACATTAACTTGGATAAGAAGTAGATTTGACCTTTCTTATTCCGAATTTATAAACGACCCGCAGAAACAACCATGACATGAAATTCGACCCTTGGTCGGAATGAACTATTTTGCTGCAAATTTTGAATAAAGCCTTTAGCGATAACTGGCGCAGTACTTTTCTTTGGTGGAATAGCTTCTGCATGGGAATCAGACAGAAGTGCACATGATATTCAACAAATACTAATTACCAGACTTTGTTTTAGGAAAGGACCAACGCGATCAATGACCCAACTGAAACTTTAAAAGCAGGAATGGGCTTCAAAGGGGCAGGGGAATTCTCCGATTTACTTTTCCCACCACCTGACACCATGACAGGTCTTGCAAACCTGTGGCATATCATGACTTAAGCTAGGCCAAAACAAATGAGTTAAAATCTTATAACAAGTTGTGTTAACACCCAAGTAACGATCCATAGTATCGTTGGCCAAACCTATCACTTGTTGGCGAAATCTCTGGGGAACGCCAAATGCTGATTACCAGGCTTTATTTTGGTTACAGGCTGTAGAAGTCAAGGAGACAAGATTTTCCTCATACCAAAGCAGATGTATTCTTATATCAGAGCTACAATTCTCTACAATTCTAAACTAATGTCCTAAAGAAACGATACCAACTATTTTTAGATATTTTTGTTATAAGTGATATATTGTATATGAAAACATACTTAAACATATCTCACGTACCAAGCCAAATGTAATCGGTGGGAAATTTGACAATTTGTGTAAAAAACGTGCACTTTACATAAACGATGTCAGGTACCGTAGCACGTAATGCACGTGCAGATCTACTGTATAAAACTGCTGACCCGACACGTAAGGAACACAACACCAAAAGCACATGAAAAATAATGGCACGTTTAACTGGATAGAGAGGGAGAAAGCCGTTGGAATGGCCCAACAGGGAGCGACGCACGTCGTCATTGCTAGAACGTTTCGATGCGTCTGTATAACTGTTACCAGGTTGATGCAGCAGTTACTTCAGACTGGCCGAGAAGCGGATGACCACGGGTGACCTCGCCCATTCAAGATCGCTCCATCCGGACAATTCAACTCCGAAACCACTTGGTCACATAGACTTAACGGCAGTGACGCATTGCGACACAGGAACATGGTATCAGAGCACATCGACCCTACTGAGGACTGCTGTTGACACCTCAACATCGCCTCGACAGACTGATATGGGCCAGGAGACTTTGACGTTGGCATCTGCTTGACTGGGCACGTGTTATGTTCTCTGTTGAGAGCAGATTCTGTCTCTTCAGGACCGATGGTCGGCAACGTGTTTGTACACCACTATCCCACATGACAAACTTAAGGAAAAACTTCATTCCTTGATCCATGGGGCTGTTGTTACAAAACGTGGTGAACACAGATAGTTATGTATCTATATTCAGAGGTTCAGGGCAATTTGTGAAGAATGAAAGCAAATGCCATCCGAGCTTTACTGAGAAAACAATATGTGAAATGCTGGACTTCCTCTTTGATAACATCTACCTAAAATTTCGGGGTAAGACATTTAGGCAAGAAGTAGTCATCCCCATGGGCACCAATTGTGCTCCCCTTCTTGTGGATCTGTTTCTTTATGCATATGAATCGGAATTTCTGTTCGGATTTGCAAAGTCAAAACAAGGTAATTTGGCCAGGAATTTTAACTTAAACTTCAGGTATATCGGTGATCTGATATCATTCAATAACAAATCAAATAGCCAATTCCCTTCCACTGATTTACCCACCTTAACTAGAAATAAAGGAGGCCAGTGAGTCCGCCTCATCTGCTTCATA